CCTTTGCCTCTTTGGCGGTAGAAGTACCCAAACCTATTTAAAGTAATTTTAAACTATACATATATACGTTGTTTTTTATCATTTATAAAAACGTAAAAATAAAAACCTTTGTAGTATTTTATTTTATATGTATGAAAATTGTCTGTTTCTTTCTTCCACGATTCAAATTCTGGTAACGAAAAGAACGATAATACTTGATTTCCTTTCGATGCTTTTACAATTGGTGTAATAAATTCTTCGATGAAGTTTAGTTTTAGTAAAGATGGCCAATTGTGATGAATAAAATTAATTAAAAGACCCTTAATATGAGAGCCATCCTAAACAAACAAAAATATCATATAAAACTCTGTAAATATATTAACATAGCCTGCCTAATGAAGAAATTAACAGTAGACAAAAAGATATTTATTAACCTGATCTTGATCAGTCATGATCATCATTTTACCATAACGAAGTGTTTTAAGATCATCTCGGGTTTCATACTTTTTTTTATATTGTAAACCAAGAATTTTGATCAAATTATTGATCTCAGCATTTTCTAATATTTGCTTATGCGTTGCTTCTCTTACATTTAATATTTTACCTGTAATAAATAAATATATATATAAATTATGTATTTATGCACTAATTAATACAGAGAGATTTAATGAATTTGATGAAGTATTAAACGTACCTCTTAATGGAAATATGCCAAATTTATCTCTACCTACAGAAGATATTCCTGATACAGCCATCGTTTTAGCTGAATCTCCCTCAGTTAATATTAGGGTACACTCCAATGATTTGTTTGTTCCAGCATCATTAGCATCTTCCAACTTAGGAATACCTAGAAATATAATTTGCATTATATTATAGTTAATGCATTAGTATTCAATTAAGTTTACATGTATTTTAATATCTTATTCGTAATACATTTATTATTAAATTGACGTAATTTAATGAATAACACCTTGAAGTTTTCTCTGTTTTGATTTAGGTCCCAATTTTTGTAGTTGACTGTCAGCCTTAAATTTGGCCCATGTTAAGACAGATTCTACAATGCCAGTTTTCATTACCTACAAATAAATCAAATGATTATATAAAGAGTTACTAATTTTTTATAAATAAAATAATATAAAAATACTCACGGATGTGATGAATTTATCGCTTAATACGCATTTAGAACCAAAACTTTTTTGTTGCAATGTCATGTGTTCTTTAGTCTGCGAATCGAATGAAGGATTATTGATGAGACAATTAATAAAAATCCACAAATGATTTTTGATTTGGAATGGTTTTATGGTAATCCCAGCTTTATTTTTCTTCTTTAATGTTTCTGTTAGTTGTTTAACTATCAAATCTGTAACATGGTCTACATGTCTGCCTCCCTGTTGATTAATTTAATGTTATAATGCATTTGATTGAATAAAAATAATGTAAAAAGAGGAAAAAGATGAAGTCAATTTAGAAACATAAATATACCTTAGTCGTTGCAATACTATTTACAAATGACATTTGTTGAAAACCCTTGTCAGATAAAGTAACTGCTACTTCCCAACGAGGCCCACAAGATTCATAAGCAATTTTTAATGGGTTACCAGAATCATCTTCCTTTCCTCTAATATAACAGTCAATGTAATCTTTAAAATTCTTTACAGGTACTCTAGATCCATTAAGATAAACTTTCACTCCTCTTGAAGATGCTGCTACGTCGTATGCTCTACGTGACATAAGAGCTACTATGTCTGCATCTAAAGAATCCATTTTGAATTTGGATAAATCTGGAGAAAATGTTACTTTTGTAAAATCTTCCCCATGAAAATCTTTAACTCGAGGTTCACTAGCTTTTCCCATATTATCGCCCCATGTCTAAGAACAAATAAATTATTGAAATATTTTAATCAATATCATTCTAACAGTTATCATATTTGTATCATAATTTTATCAAAATGTTGCTTACTTGTTTTAAACTTTTTTTATATTCCTTAGATGCAGTTTCAACGGTAAAACGATGACTAAAAATATTACATAATTTTGCACCATAGCCATTTCTTCCTCCTGTAACTTTTTCCTCTTCGTCGTCGTAATTCGATGATGTTAATAAATGACCAAATATCATAGTGGGTACATACATATTCTCTTCCTTGTGTATTACAACAGGAATACCTTTTCCATTATTCCAGACAGATATAGTATTATTCTCACTAAAATCCAAAATATCTATATTCATACAACGAACAGCTAGTATTGCAGAACAACTAATCGTAGTATTCAACATGTGTATCATGAAGGAAAAGACATCCATTGCAAAAGGATTAATAGATATTAATTGATTAAATATACTTACGCATCAATATCAATCTTAATAGTATCCATATTTGGATCACGTTGCTTGTTATCAGCAGCGTTGACCAAAATCTCATCAAATATTTTATACAATCCAGGAACAAATTTAATATCCCTCTGTACCATCATTTCTTTTTCCTTGTCGAAAACCCACATAAGTTCTGTGGTACTTTCAACTGATCCGATGTATGTATCTGGACGCAATAGAATATGCTCCAATTGTGTTTTCTTCTGGTAAATACCTTCGATGGTTTTTTTCTTGGCATTACTGGCTTGACCTCCATTTTCAATAGCTGTACTCATTTTTTTAATGTGATATGTTTTTATATATCTGCAAATAGAAGATTAAATAAAATATAATCAAATATTTAATAAGCAAAGGGTTCATAATTTTACATACAAATTATTACTTAGTAACAATAGCGCTTATTAATTACTATAACTAAACATAAATGTCATACATTTAAATGTTGCAACAAAAACAATAATTGATGATAATTAATAATTATTTAACAATTTAATTATTTCCACACGACATTAGATGTCAGATCTAATAGGATGATGAAAAATCATTTACAATTCAATATTAAAGTATTGACAAAAGCTAATAGAGGACAAAAACTATTAATTAACCTTTTTATAGTTTCTTAGACGTGAACTAAAAAATTGTATTTAGTATATAATTTCCTACCCTAAATAAGTCTTAATAATATGGCGGGAAAATGTCCTCATCTAATTGGCCAAGAATGCAAAGGGACGCCAATTTATAAGCAAACACCTGCTTTTTGAAAACAGAAGGTAGACAGAAAAATACGTAAATTATGACCGGCAATTAGACGTTTGAGTTTGCAAGAATTTGAAGGAATGTTATTTTATTGTTATTAGTATATAACATATATATATATATATATATATATATATATATATATGCATGGATATATTTGTCTCACCTTTAGTTCATTTACTTGAGAAATTCGTATCGCGTAGTAGCGTTGATTACAGAAAGTAGTATAATCACACGATGCCATTCATTTTGGTTATAATTAATGATTAGCATAGCACAGGCACTGATATTCATCCGTACACTCACTCCGATCTAACCTTATTCTATATTTTTAAATATATTTCAATGATATATTTAATTAAAAGATATTATTTAAACTAATTGAAGTCCTTAAATTATTTTCTTGTAATAAATTCCAACAAACAGCTACAAGTACAAATTTCCTTCTTTGCAACCGTTACAACCAACCGCCGAAGTTACTTTGGCGCTGCTATCGTTTGCAGACTAACATCGTCAAAATATATAAAACCCTACTAATAACTATTGAATACAAATATAATATGGAAAATGAACATCTATAAATTTATTTGATTAATTTTTTTCTTTTTAAACAAATTACGAGATAGATTTAAACATATGAATAGTAATTGTATTGATTTGATAAACAATTCAAATCATTTTAATATATAGCCAATTTCAATCTCTTTACTTATTTATATTTGTATATATAAATCTAATATATACATATATATATACTGGGTATAAATAAATAATAAATTCATTTTTTAAACAATTCTAACTTACAAAAATTATGTTAAATATTATGCATTTTTTCCTATTTTTACATATTGTATATACAATATATAACATGCACAACCTACATTATACATACAATCTTCATATAGTAGAGTACAATAAATAAAATAAACGACAATAAAAGGAAACGGTTAAAGAGATTTACTATTTTTTTTCAATAAATGTATTTTTCTTCCTTTTCGCTTACTTAAAACTAAGAATAGCAATAGTGGATTTATAGCAGCAGTAGCAATGAATACAATATTTATAATTATAATATCTATAGTTAACATATCTCCATAAAATTATATTAATAATTATAGTTGTAATCGTCATGATCATTCATTTATATACATGTATATATGAAGAAATATGCATACACGTACGAAAGAGGGTATGCAATTATGCATCCGGGAATAATCATAAGTGTACGCATATATTTCACGATCTAATTTTTCTTTTCCATACGAAATTCTTATGTGTAGGTATGTATTAATTTAACTCGCATAATCTTTCATCCTGAATATTTCAAAATTGCGACTTAAAATCTAATTTTTCTTTTCTTTTTTTTTTTTCTTTCATGATTTTGAACGAGGAATTGATCGCCTGTATCTTTTGTTGCATGGTTTTCATAGCTGTATATATATAAAGTAATTGTGTTTTATAAACCTCTAGTATACTCTCTTTTTCATTAGATATATGTTTATATGCAAGATTGTTATAAGTGTGGTACAAAAAATAAGAGTGCTTCACCTTCTGTTTAAATATGCTAATAGAAAATTTACATATAACTTAGCATACATCTTACGTTTACAAAACCAAGAACCGATTAGCAAAAATTTAACATAGAAGAATTGAAATATTTATCAAAAGAGTTTATATGTTATTTGATTTGTGGGAAAGAACTTACAAAATATGTTTTATCCATGAAACGATAAGCACCACAGAGAAATCTATAATATATATATATATATATATATATATATATATATATAAACAACATTTAATTTATTTTATTCATATATATTTATCTATATAAAAAAAAGACCAATAATTTAATTTAGTCGTTTAATAAAATAAACAAACAAATTAATGATTAAATTACAATCTGTGATTTTTCTGCTAATTATACAATTTTTGAAATGCTTGAAAACACACGCATTGCAAGAACAGAACACTTTTAAAGGATTAACGAAATAGATGAAAATAAAAACGCATCGTAGGAGGTATATTAAACTAGCGGAATCCAATTGTTGGGTCATTTATAAAAAGAATTGCCTGGTAAAACGCACTAGCCTTTTTTAGACAGAGGGGCCATGAGATGTTGCGATAAATATTGTGATGTAGTTGTGTTGAAATAAAACCTCTTCTTTTTTTTTGGTTGTTTCGACATTAATTATTACATATATTGCGACTAAAAGTTACAATTATAATTGAAGAAAGAAAAAGAAAAAAAAAGGAATTATAGAACTACTTAATTCAATGATTATTAAATAGAAACGCTATCACATTCTTTGTATCTCGAATTTCAATGTAAGGATAATATGTGCAACATGAGTATTGATATTTCTATTATTCCTTGATGTATCAATAATACTAAATTGATATTTTTTAAACGAGAAGCCGCAAATGGTCGATATTCTTAAAAGCTACTCACAAAACTTCGCTACTTGGCAAGGCTCCTCCCTAAATGCGATAGTTCTTAATATTATTAATGGGCAATCTTTAGCGTGATTTAAAAAATCTGACGCAACCTGTATTCCCGATCTATACGTCAACCTCCTCGCGCAATAACGAATTTTTATTATGTGAAAACTTCATAGTATCGTCCTGACAAAGGACATCAACAATGAATCATTAGGAGATGCAGATATATAGGACAGCCCATACGTTTCGCCATGACCAATAAGAAAGAGAGCATTATTATGTTTAAAAATACCATTAGAGTGTACCATTCAATAGGTCAAATGGGAGTAAAGATAAAAGACCCATCTTAAGAGTCGAATACGTAATATGCGTGATATATAATCACAACATATATTCTTTACTTGATTATTTTTCTTTCTTTTGTTTTTTCTTTTAATAGGAAGTCAGATAAATATTTCTCGGTGAGCTTATTATTCATTCTGCATTTTTAAACATTTAAAAAAAGATACTTCATTTAGAATTTATTCTATATAAAATATATCCATCTCAAATCTTTATTGCTTTACTCAATAAGTTTAATAAAACATCTTAAAATTACTGATGAGATTAATGAATATGTAAGATATGAAAACCGAGATATATGCTCCCAGACTTCTCAAAAGCTGATCAAAATCATTGTAAAACTTGTGAATATTGTGTTTATATTCCAATACGTGAACGTACGACCTGACCTCTGCATCCATATGCTTATATATGAATTTTTGTCGATCCACGACCTAGCATGCACAAGAATCCCCTTTACCGTTATTTCTTTGGTCATTGGTCAGTTTAATTTGGTCTGGGAACTCGTTATAAAGTTCAACCTAAAAGTCAAATGATTAACGATAGTTAACAACAAATCAATTTATAAATGATATTGCAATGATATTAAATTATTTACGACATACCTCACTTTCTTGAGCTAAAGCATTTTTAGCTATCGTTTGGAATGCCTGTTCCACATTAATAGCCTCTTTTGCACTAGTTTCAAAATATGGAATATTGTTCTTGGATTGACACCACTGCTGTGCTCTCTTACTCGATACCTTATACAAAATAAAAACATATATTGTAATAGAATTCTAATCAACATTCCAAAATTGTTGTTGTTTCATTAAACTTACCGACTTAGATTCTAAATCAACCTTATTTCCCAGAACAACGAATGGAAAGTTATCTGGATCTCGTGGAGATGCTTGAATCAAAAATTCGTCTCTCCATGACTCTAAAGATTTGAAACTTGTTGGTGCGGAAACATCAAATACCAATACACAACAGTCGGCGCCTCTATAGAATGCAACTCCTAACGATTGAAATCTTTCTTGACCTGCGGTATCCCAAATCTGTAATTGTCGAAATGAAAATACAATTCATTATTAAAATATAATGATTATTTTAATTAATCCTTGTACTATAACAAAGTGTGACTCGTGATACACTTCACAATTCAAACATGAAAAAATTCAGCACAGACTTTGGAACACAGCTGCGCTTATTTAATTATAGTGCAAGAGATTAATGATTAATAAAAAGTAGCATAATTACCTGCATAGTAACTACCCTATCATCGACCATAACTTCTTTGGTAAGAAAATCTGCTCCTATAGTAGCTTTGTACTGATTACTAAACTTTTTATTAACATACTGATTCATCAACGACGTTTTACCTACTCCAGAATCTCCCAGAATAATAACTTTTAAAAGTACTTTCTTACGGGATGACATACTGACTGAAAGAAAACCAAGAGCAAAAGTTTTAATATTCAAATGTTTTGTGGAAATATTAATTAAGAAAGAAAGAAAAAAAACCGACAAATTTCATTTAATCAAATGTAAAATGATACATGATAAAAGTAGGAAAAAATAGTGAATATCGTAATATTGGAAAAGATATAAAACAGTTATCTACATTGAATAACAATATAAATGTCAGTAATGTAATTATCATACTCGATTAAAAAAACTTTAGTAAAAAAAAATTTCTCAACAATAATACTTGGTAATGTAAATAAAATTACAAGAAAAAACCCCCTCCCCACGCACTACAAGTTTTAAATGACTAAGAAAATATATGATAAATCACATAATTAATCTATATTGTTTTTAAAAAATGAATCATCTAACGTGTAATGAAAAGTAACTTTTATCGTAATGACGTATGTATATGTTTCTAAATGTTAGAAGAAAAAAAAAAGAAGAAGAAAGGAAATATATTATTTGCTATATTAGCAAAAAAATAAATATAATACTTTGACAACTAACAGTTAATTGGTAATCCCGTTAATAAAAGAAAAATAGGATATCACTAAGGAAGAATAGAAAGAACCTAACAGGATGTAAAATAGAATTTACATGTAGATGTAAAATAGAATCCGTTTAACTGCGATAGTTGAAAACCTGTCAACACACTAGCAGGGCAATTAGGATTTTGCGCGGTAATTTGAGGATCTTCTCAAAGTAAAGATACGCGATGTCCATCGACGGACGAAATCATCCAGTGGTAGATCGACAAATTCTCCAACTTAGATGATATTACCTCGAATTTAACAGAAAACAGGACGTGTATTCCTTCTGGTCCTAACACTTCACACAAAGAAAATGGCGTGTTATGAAATCACGAGTATGACAACGATGTCGTCACCTGTTCGTTGATGCTCTCTTATCGACTGAACAGTCGACTCTAATTCTCGAACGTCACTCACTACGAGATATCGAACTGTCTCTCGGTTTCCTCCTCCTTAACTTGACATAGTGCTGCCACCTATCGTAAAAAACAATTATTTCATTTTATTTC